AAGGCCACGCTGCAGACCCTGTTAGAAACATCGTTAACCGCTAGTTAAGAAGCAAACGTGCAACACCAGTGCCACATAACGCCTCAAAGCACAGCCCAAAGCTCAACCCTCCCAAACCCACCCTCCTAACTCAGGAAGAGGCCTGTATGATCCAGAGTAGCCCCAGAGTAACTCTTGGTTACTCCCAGTAACCCTCAGGACTGCAAATGGGGGGGAATAGAGGAATGAAGAAGGGTCAGGTTTAATCTATGAAGTACTGAAACAGTCTTATTTTCACGATATCTTGATGTGCCAGTTGAGCACTAGTGGATCACCACTAACACCCAAATACACAGCAAATAGGAAAACATATAGCGCTGAGCCCGTGCTAGCAGCCAGTCGTTATCTCTCTGCCAGTCACTTTAAAAAAAATACACATCAAAGCAATCAAAGGGCTATTCAAATAATCTAAAACCAGGAACAGTCTCTCCCAACTGCAGTAGCTGAGAAAAAATGTCCTTACCTTAATCACTGCCCTAAGATCTGTAGAAGTTTCATTTGTATCCTCCTGTGCAAGTTCGGGGTCTTGGTCTGTTGTTCTTGGGACACTCCTTCCATCCAAAAGTGGCTGCACATCATCCTGTGTCTCCTTCTTGGCAGACAGGTGCCACTGCTAACGAGATGGACAAAGAAAAAAAAGGCACAGCCAGTGTGGGTAGAAGAAGGCAGGATGCACTGGAGCAAATTACAGAATGATCAAAAGATCTCACTCGGAGCTAAACTGAGAGAGAAATGCAAAGGAGCTTTTCTGTTCCGCTCAGAAGTTTTAACATTTCTACCTGGAGAAGTGTGGGCTACTTGGAAAGGACAGAAAGAACATGGAAAGACAGGAAATAATGCAAACAAGAAACTACCTGTCACTAACTTTTCTCCTCCATACTAAAACTTACCACTTAGAAAGGACAGTTTTATTCAAGTAACATTTTCTAGTTACTGCTTGCTGCCTTCTGAGAAATTTTGCCATGGAGAAACGTCCCAGCGTGGCAGAACTGATACAACACAGTGTCCAGTCATTTTGCACTTAAGGGCCAGGGGTGGTGGTGGTGTTAATCCTGACGAGGCAAATTTCAGATTGAACAATGCAGAGGGAGTTCCCCACTGCTTAAGAGGAGTTACCACAAAATGCTAGCTGAGCAGTAACAAGCGTCATATGAGACACATTTCATTCCAGTTCAAAACATTTTGAGTAATTTTATAATTGACATTGATGATTGTGTTACTGATGCACCAAGGAAGAGAAGGAATTGTTTTGGGCAACTAAACAGAACAGCAGAGAAGAAAACATTTACACCAAGAGAGATATAGAGGACTGCAGTTTCTGGAAAAGGATTTTAAGACCCTTGAAATTAGACAGGAGAAAACTTGAATGCATTTACATTCCTATAGTCTCCAAATTGCCAGCTACGTCTGACATTTAAATACATGGATCTTGCTACAGTTAACCAGATTTTTCCATAAAAATCACAATAGACTCAGATTTGCAGAGTCTCAGTCACATTAATTTCTTCCAAATACATGAAGATGCTGGTTTGGGACCTTCAGTTCAGACAACGTATCGACAGTGCAAGGCCATTCACATCCAAGATATACAGCTTATATGGAGTTTCTCTAGCATGGAAACACAGCTGGCTGAAACAAAACCTAGGCAAAATGACTGTTTCACGAGTTCCTAACGTTACACTATCTTTTACTCTTATTTCAGAGAAATGTCAGAAAAACAGCCCCAGAGCAGGCCCACTGCTGAACACTTCAACAGCTGACATCTACTTGAAAGGTGCTTTGGCCCCCCGTAATAAAATGAGTAATGAAAACACTACAGTTTAAATACCACAGAAAAGTGGAGAAAGTCACCTGTAGACAAACATTCCTGGTGTTTCTAAAGGTACTGCATTAGATTGCACTCAAGACCCTGGGTTCTACTCCCTGCTTAACCCCTCTGTTCATCAGTTTCTCCATCTGTTAAACAGCAACAGGCTCCTCTTTTTAACATGCTCCAAAAATCAAAGGTGTAAAGCAGTATCCAGACCTGGATATCATTCACCTTTAGAGTTATATTTTTAATAAGACCGTAGTTATGAACAACCTTACCTCCTGCAACAACCAGCATTGCAAATTGCTTCCTTTCAGGCAAGTTTGGAATGAACAAGATCCTTAACACAAATAAAGCACCACTAATTCTTCTGGCCTTTTCCCCACATTTAAATGATACCCCAAGTTATTATACATCCTTCACCAAACCCTAGGGATGCAAGAGTAAAACTACACCACTTCTTGGGTCCTGGGGAGGGCAAAACATGAAAGTGCTAAGTCAAATTGATCTCAAGAATCTGGTACTGATCTGAGTTCTCAACAGAATCCGCTCTCGAACTGAAAAATTATGGTGCATGTGAGAGGTTAGAGAAATCACTGAGCACACAGACTCCCTGAAGTCTGCAAAGAGACGAGAAGACAAGCAGCTAGAGATGCATTTATGGTCCCTGTGTAATTGTTTTTATATTATGGTTCTGCTTTCTTTTTGTAAAAGCAAATAAAAGCCTCCATAAAAAAACTAAACAGGACTAAACCAATACACATCTCACAATCCCTGGAGTTGATTTCATTGAATGATAGCGTCACAGTCAAAACTCCCACCTGGTCACACAGCTCATCCTTGTCCAGCTTT